GTCCAAATTGAACTTTATGGTGCACTCGATTGGATGATGCGACTGGCAAGTACGTGTCAAATAGGCTGATTTCGGGTAATGTGCTCAAGCGGAGGAATCATCTGTTGTTCTCGTCGAGAGCTACTGCAGACACTGTGGTGAACACATTATCTTTAACGTCAGTCCGCCTTGGAAAGTCCTGACTGAAACCCACACGGTCCAGCTGGAGAACACAGACAAAGAGGAAAACTCAACCCTGGAGTATCGCTTCAAGGGTCCGCGGACCGCAGACAGAGGTCGAAACCTTACAGCTTTTGTGCTTGGTCTTCTGACGGGTAGATAACGGAGGAAAAGACAGATTGAGTTGCAACAGGGAATGGGTTTTTCCATGAGACACTGCGACTGTTGGCTAAACTCTCACTTGGGTAGTTTGAGCCTCCAAACTTCGAGATCTCCATCGTGGCCGCTCATAACCTTACAGATCTACCGGTGCAGAGGACACAATGGGCAGTGAAAGAAGACAGTAACACAATCGCCGTGGTGTGAGATGTAACAGTTGGCCTAGCTAAGTATCCGGGGGAACACACACACACACACACTTTTCAGTGGAGCGGGTGTCTGCCCACATTCTTTACATAAGCTCTTGTCAAACATGGCGCACAGCAACAAGGCCTCACAGCTGCAGCACAATGGAGTCACGCTAAATTACAGCGCTGCAGCCGGACATGCACACGTCCAGCCAGCCGGGGTCACGAAACACAGTGGAATAAATAAGCATTATTTTGCGAAAGCCGTGTCATTCTAAGACTACATGCCGGCCTACTTTGCATTAATACATCAATGTGGAATGATATGGATTCAATGATCAACGACCCAATATTGATGGGAAGTAAAAACATTGCTACATAGTAATCAATACATTTGTCTGCATCACCATTAACCTCCCACCGCTCCTCCTTCCTACAGAGCCAAAGTGCCAGACCATATAAGTTGGTTAAACCCACAAATTAATAAAGCTACTGAATTTAGTTGAAGAACTTTATCATTGCAGATCTTGGTATGACCAAATATTGTATCTGTCCAAATAAAAATGTCCCAAATCATTTGGTATTCATGCTGAAACACCTCTGCTACCACAACGGTGACCTCAGAAACACCTCAGTTTGAGATCTGACATCTGCTCCCGTGGGCTGCAGACAAATACCTCCTCTCCGAATCCCACAATTGCATTTCTAAAGCACTCAATTACAGATGTTGCACATCACAGACACCTCAAAAAATGTCACATTCCCTTGACGTTATTAACCCACACTGTGAAAGTGTACAGGCCCACAGAGCACAGCCATGGTGGAAAGATCAAGAGGGGAACTCCCGTCGTCGCAGTGCGAGGTGCTACGATGGACCGGGTGCTATGCGGTTTTCAGCAGATCAGCGACGAAAGACGTCCTCGGCCCCTCTGCACCCGTAGCCCCTCGCTGTGGGCCTAGTGAGCAGAACCGCCGACCAGGAGGCCTCACTGTGATGAGCACCTCCTCCTCCTTCAGACTGCCGCGGGAGCAGCTCGTTCTACCCGCTTTGGTCAAGTTGGCTTTTCTCATCGCCGTTGGTCGAGGTTTTAATTGACTTACATGGAACTCTCCCCCGCCTGCTGCACAAGTCCATGTGAGGCGTTGCCAGCAAGCAAATACTGCCAGACAGCTGGCTGACCCAGGACAACAAGCAGACGTCCACTCGATGTTCAAGGATTCCTGAAGACAGACACTAGTGGACATCCTCCATGCCGTTCAGAAACAGGGTCCAGAATTTATAGAAAGGTCAATCAGACATGCAAATGAACTAATATGAATGCATTGACACCATGGTCAATTGCAGTTAGTCTGTCCATTCGTACTGGTTATAAAATCACATGACAGCTTTCACGCCCTTCGAGGACAGATTAAAAATACTGAATTTACTCAACATTAAGATGGAAGCAGACGTTCCCGTATCTCTGTATTTAAAATGAATAGGAGCCCCTCTCGATTCAATACACATTGTCCGAAAGAACGACCCTGATTGCAGAGAAAGCGGACGTCCTCCAGTGAGATGCAGTCTAGTCCTCACAGGGCAGACGGGTCAGGAGGAGGGGTGAAAGTACCCTCGGAGATGCTCATGCAGGCGGTGATGCTCTGAAAGACAAAGTGCATCCTCCGGGGTGGGCACGAGTGGGATTGCACAGAGTCAAATAGAGCCCCAAGAGGAGGTGAGGGGGCCACTTAAGTCTCTGCACACCTGCAACATCAACAGGGGCCCTCCACTAAAATCTACACCCCTCACCAGGTCTGTCAACAGAGCGCACAAACCCACAGTGGCGCCTCGGCACGCTGTTGAATTCATATTTAGATGGGAGCCGCCATCTTCGGCTCTCCCTGTTCCTCAGAGCCAAATGAGATGTTGTCCAATCTCATCACCAGCTGACTTCACACCTCCTTATTTACAAAATATGAATCTCTTGCTTGAAGCAGACACATCTAATTAGAAGCACCAAAATGTTTTAAATGATATGTGCATTTTGTTGACCACCTTGTGTGCTGCAAAGTCCACACACAATGGGCTCTTGATCAGGGCTGTAACTGACAATTATATTCATGAATTTGGATTAGCTGATTGTCAGGAAATGGCAATTTGTTGTTTTCACATTGACTGATTTAACAGTCAAAAACAAAAAAGGTGGTAACTTTACGGTCATATGTGACTCAAAAATGCAAACACATATTTGGCATAATCAGCAAAATATACAACCGATAGTCAGTCAATAGACATTTAATTTGCAACTAACTGTTGCAGCTCTACAGCTAATCAAACAAACACAAAAAAAAAAAAAAATCAAATAGCAGACGTTAAAAAGATAAACAACAACCATTTAGACAGATTAAAGGCTGCCGTGTAAATTAATGCGCATATCCCAGCACACACACCCGAATCCACTATTATAATATAATTGAAATAACAACACACAAACAAATCATACATGAATGAGTGGATGATGAGGGGGGGGGGGGGGGGGGTGTTCTACACGCCTCGCACGGGTATGAAATAGTTGTTGCATGCTAAAGCTGCTGCTGGGCACACATTTTTTTACACCGCTGGGGTACAATGATGAGAGAAAATAGGCCCCGAAGTTGGGTGGGGCCCCGACTGGACCAAAAGTGCAGGCCGCTGCAAAAAACCCGACCCACAGCTGTGTCGCTGTATTCTCTCCTTAAGGCGAGGGAATGATTGTCAGGCAGGCAGGCAGCAGCCAGCTTCTCCCCCCTGGACCCGAAATTAGTGTTGAACATGGTTATTGGTGATGCCCCCAAGATTCTCTCGAGGAGCTTAAAGAGACAATAACGTTGGTGGAGGACGTGCTCCGCCCCAAATGCCAAGGAGACGACAACCCCCCCCCGCCCCCGCTCGCCTGCAAGCCTCATTCACGCCTGGACTTCATTATGAGGTGCAACGGAAATAATCATTGGCAATCTGAAAGAATTTACAAGACAATGATGCAGACAAGTCATGCCTCACCGACACAAAGAGCAGTTAGGGTGGAATTGGCTCAACGTGGCGAGACTGAGAAACATGCTTTCTGACAAAGTACGGCCTGTGTTAAAGACTAGAACATGTTCTATGCCACTGGCGTTTGTAGCACATACTGTGTGACAGGACAAAGGGGTATATTTTCAAATCAAGCCTCGGCCAGGTTTGAGCCATAGCGATCAGTTTTCCCCGTCCTTATTGATAAGCCTGATTGATGCAATGCAAAAAACAAAGTGACCAACATATTGTGGAACGCGCCTCATCGGCGCCTACATTTAGATTTAGAGACAGAAACAGACTTGTGCTGCAAAACACACACACACACACACACACACACACACACACACACACACACACACACACACACATCACTTACTAAATGTTAAAAGGAAACCTCTACCATATAACCAATATTTTTGCATGATCTATACACAGGATGTTTGAGTGACTGAGTTTTTGTGGAGTAGTTTTAACAATGAATAAAAGAAACATTTTGCTTACATATATAAACTCAGTCATTAAAAATGTAATTACAATCATATGTAATATAGATCAAATTTGTGATGATAACACCGACCTAAAAACAAAAGACATGCGTAATTCCACTGGCGTGATAACATTTTAAACTAAAGTTATAAATAATGTTAAGCAAATAAAATCCATATTGTCCAACGATTTACTAATATACTTAATACGAAGGACAGATCAAATGACTTAAATCCTCCAAGCACTGCAAAGTTGTAAATTAGATCAGGAAACCTGTAAAAAGGGGTTTAGATGAGATGATTGCAAACATCACTGGGCACGTGGACAACGTGTATCCAAAAATAACAGTTATACGAGACATTTAGCTGAAATATGAGGGGTCAATAAACATTCCTTGAGCAGAAACGTTTGGAGGGATGGAAATGTATCAAGTCTTTCCTGATTAGTTAGGAATGTCTGGTCTGCCATATTCAGATTATCTTGATTAAAAATGAAGTCCAGGACAAATAGTTTATAAAAGTTTCATTAAAAGGCTGAAATAAACACCTTTCGGTTTACATTTGTCATTCAAATTTGCTCCCGAGTCTTAGCAAATACTGCTGACATTACACAGATCATTTTAATTTTCCATGTGGCTTTTTCCGTTTTAACCCCTGGCTTTCTTATAATTAGATTTCCTGAATTGTGTGCGCGTGTGTTTCCAATCACTACATCTGCTCGGTTTATTTTAAGATGCCAGAAGTCCCTCTTGAAACCGGATTCGAGGAGACGTTAATAAAAGCAAGGAAGCTGAGGAAACTCATTTAAAAATGTTTTTTTTTAAAAAGGAGCCACATTGAACCGTGCACACCTGCACACTGACAGGAGAAGCAGACCTGGTTTCCAGCCCACCCAACGCATTGAAACCCGCTCTGCGGGATACAAAGCACCGATCCGGCCGGTGCTTCCTCGCCATCCTCCGCAACCGCGCATCTTACCTTTTTGTGTCGGTCTTTGAAAGGCAACGCGGGCCACGGCATCTCCTGCAAAAAGTCCTGCCAGTGTTTCTGGTCCTGATCGGACGAGACGAAGACGATCTCCAATTTGTCCTTGTGTTCCGACGCCTTCTTGAACCTGCCGTAGAACTCGCACAGGCTGCCGTTGAACTGCTTGCACGGGGCGTTCAGGCTGCATCCGAAGAAGAGCCCGACCAGGGAGAGCTTGGCGCCCGCCGACTGCACGTCCACCTCGGCTTTCTCGCGGTCGACGAGCCGCTCCCCGAGCAGACTCACCAGGAACTCCGACATCGCGCCCGTCCGTTAGCCCGAGCCGAGGCTAGCGTGCGTGTTCAGGGCGACACCCGGCACTTCCTCCACCTCCAATTTGAAGGGTTTTTTTCTTCTCTTCTAGGTGCGCTCCGGGCCCCCGTGAGGCGCCGTGTGTGTGCGTGTGTCTGTGCGTGCGTGTCGCCGCGGCTCGTCCTCCGCTGTGAGCGCTGTGCAGGAATGCGCTGCGCTTAAATCGCCCTGACTGCAACAGCGGTTGCGCCCTCCTCCTCTTCCTCTTCTCCTCCTCCTCCTCTCCCAGAGCACAGTTTTTAAAATCACGGTATCGGATTATTCCAGCTACACGTGAAACAGGTTTATCAATTAACTATGGGGATTTATTTGAATGGGTTTCCAATGGGGAATGCAGCTTAATCCCCATACATGTGTTGTACAATGGCGCTGTGTATTTCAGAGTAACAGATTTGAGGTTTCGAATTCATATTGCATTTTAATTAAGTGTTCAGGGTTTGAAATGTATCTAGTTTCCTTCGGAAACTCTCCAATAAACTCAGCTAATAAAAGGAGTAGTCGGGCTGACGTTATACTACACTCTATTCCTATGGACATACTGCCACCCAGTGTTCAGTACAGCAAACTACACGGGGGCAACAAACGTTGAATTGTAAAACATTTTTTGTCGTCCCCTAATTCCAAGGTGCATGAGGGAGGAAAATGTCTATATAGTTTTTAAAAAAAAGTTTAAATGTCAATCCCCAAGAAAAATAATTATCCAATAAAAAGAATGTTGTGAGACCGGTACTTTTTAATCCTTCATCAGTCATCACTACAAAGAAGCTTACTTTCCGCCTCATTTTCCACATCAAGTTTTAGTTTATTTGAATCTTACTGCAAGGAAACACAAATAATCACATAAAAAAAAGGGTCACAATGAAAAAGAATCAAACAGTTTTAAAGAACGCAATGGACTTTTTAGACCAACGTTACATTTGAAGATACTCATCAAACTCAAATAAGAATGTAATGATTGCACATAAAGCAGCTTTGAATAATTACTAGAGTTACTTCAGTTCTTTATATTTCCCTTTGCAGAGGTTCAAGTACTGAATTAGTGTGTCTTACGCTAGATGCTCATTATTTTGTCGACCAAGTTACACAGTTGCTGATTTGCATCGACATTCCAGAAGGAGACGCACTTAGTGCACGTTTGTCAATAAGGCTGGAATTGCGTGGTTGTGAATTTACTGTTTGACATTGAAGAAATGATGAAATGATGAAATGATGTGAACATCGTAGAATTCCTCAGTCCTCGGTGAACATCATCCTCACCAGGTCTGCTTTGAAGCATTCTTCCTCCACCAATTTCTGAGGCTGAAACAGAATAACGGAGGGGGGGGGGGGTAAATAAACTCTATCTAACTACAGCAATATTATAAGATTGTGCTTTTTTATAGGCAACATTTTACATGAGCCTGGATGATACCTAAACGTTATTTTCTTATTGTCTCATTTCTATCGATGTTTCTGCCAAACACTTACGGTACAACTCATTTTAATGTAATCATGTCAATAAAACAGTCTTACTGTGCCATATCGCAGCAGAGTGGGAACTCCACTCAACTTCAGGGTCTTCTTGAAGTCGTTACTTGGATCCTTCCAACTGAAGCATGAACATAAACATTATTAGGGAGCTGAATTCACCAGTAGCCCCTTCGCATAGTTACTACTTTGAAGGAGCAGACATGAAAAGGCTGAGGAGGATTTTTCTGGAGAGGAAAATGAATATGCAATATATGAATAAGCACTATTTGGGGCTCTAGGATCATCAAAATGTAATTCAGATTTATTACTGAACGAGTAAATACCACAATATAAAAAGTTATTTAAGTTATTTTATTTTCAAGATAACCAACTTTCTTAAACAATTACTTCTGTCTTGATTACTAACACCTCAATGTTCTCTCTTGACTACTAATCCTTTATTAGGTTTATTCATTATTTCTGTGCATCAAATTCCTCCTTTCTGTCTCTCCACAAATGTAATATTTTACAACTGAGCGCTTTGAGTCTCTGCAAAGTACTATGCCAAAGGTAACTGCAAAATATGATCCAACTTCATAATGTAAGTCTGGATCCATTAGTTGAACAAATTGCCAGTTGAATAACAAAACATGCATCGATTTGTATTTTAACGATAACACATAATAGTCAGTCATAATTTGGACTGCGGTCTTGTTTTTTTGACAACACAGTTCACCATTAAAGAAAAGAAGAAGAAAGAGTGATACTGACTAGGCCCTTTCTCCCACTTGACAGTAGATGAACACAGATCCCTCAGGAAGGTGAGTCATCTGTCCTCTAACAATCGGCTCCGCTGAAAGGATCAAGGCACCAAATGACACAAAAGGTAACGATCGATCACATAAATACAGGTTACGAATCCCTGACAGCCAGAATACCGACAAGTGTGTCGCAAACGGTAAGACGATCATACATTTCAATCAAGTCTATTCAAAATGAAACCAACTAACCAACTAACGTAATATTATAGAGATTCATTCCAAGCAGGCAATATGTGACATTACCTTTCACACAGTCCGGGCACCAGCTCTTTCCTTGGGCGTCTTTATTACCAGAGAAATAGGTAAAAATATCCTTCCCCTTTCTCTCGGATACAGCCTGACTGAACTCCTCGTATCCGCGAACGGCCACTTCTTCGTAGTGAGCCATCGCGTAGTCCGAGTTAGTATGGAAATGCGCTAACGTGACCCCGTAAGAAGCACTAACAAGTGTTATCAAAAATACTACTCTGTGAAAAACTGGACCACACAGAAATACTCAAAATGTGACAGTGGCACTTCCGGTTTGTGCGACAGCTCTTAAAGGCACCATGTCCCTATGTATCATTTAGCAATACTTGTATTATTTTAAACTGCCCCTTGTCAGGGAGATATTTTGCATTTTAAGTAATTACATTACGTAATAACCCATAGATGCACACTGGTTTTCAAAAGATAATATATTTGTAAAGGAGCGATATATAAAAAGTTTGCGGTTGTGTTGATGTTTGACCTCTTTGACGATCCGTACTTTGTTAAAAATATTCAACTTCCGTTCACCGGCGTTCTGTTATTGTCATGGCGGCATTTCAAACACTTGACAAGCTTGGTTTCAAATTTAAAAAGAAAACCATGTTCCATATTTAGGTGTACTTCCAGTTAGCGACGCTTCGTGGGATTCATTTAATTAAGTTTAATTTTTTCGAACAACAATTCAACGTACAATGTGACGCCAGTTAGCTTGCTAATGCTAACGTTAACTCATTTGGATTGATGTTAAGCGCTGTTAGCTATTTTGGCTGCTATGACAGCACAGTTCCACCACAGAGGCCCCACGATACCCGAAGCATCCCAGAGTCAGGGGAGAAAATGGGTCGTCTCAGACCCGACTCGAAACATTCACAACCGTTGCGATGTAACTACGGCCATGCCCCGAACCAAGGTAACGTTAAACCACCATCTGGTCTGTTCACACCTGGACGCTGCTCGACATTATCCTGCATCCATATTCTTTGTATTGTTTTTTTTAATTCCAGGTATAATTGTAAAATAATGATTGTTCGGATCACGTACAAGGTGGATTAACACAGTTGTTTCTTCTTCACAGCTCCTGTTCAGCGAGGCTTTCCCTGCGAGTTCCAGCAACCGCGCCACTCACGTATGCCCGCCGGCCCCCATCGTGATCGAGAGGCTGCTGCCGCCGCCGGAGCAGCGTGAGCGGGTGGAAAGCACCAGAAGCTCGATCAGCTTCACCACCGTGTCCGAGGAGAGGCTGCGGGCGGCGGTGCGGCTGGCCAAGCGAGATCTGCGAAGAAGGCGCCTTGAGTCAGTGACTGCATCCCCGGCCAAACCCTCTCAGGACGCCTCCCCCCTCCATGAAACAAGTGATGCAGAGCTGCTCGAGGTAAACGATGCAGATGCATGGCACACGTCCTATGATGAACAGTTCCCTGGTTTAATTCATTTGAAGAAATTATGGCTGTTGTTTTTGTCATTTTTTCTCTCTCTCTAAGGAGCTCGCTGCCACTCCGAATAAAGCCAAGTTTAAGACCTCCAGTCCAAAAAATATCTCAACCAGATTGGGGTTCAAATTGTCAGCAAACAAACAACCGCGGAAGCATCCCATTGTGCCCATGCCTCGGATTGGCCGGTCGCCTCCCACCAGAGACCCCGGCCCAAGACAATTTGGAGGAGATAGAAAGGCGCCTTTAAGCCAGGAGGTCGGCAAGCTGCAGTATGAGCTGGAGGTGTATATTCAGAAAGTAGAGGCACTGTCCAACAGAGGTAACCCACAAAAACATCTTGTTACATTAGGCTTGTGTCTTCCTGTTATTTCACAAGTAATACCATTTTTGGGCCCACCAAAATAAGCACACTTTTCATATGGTATTACATTACATGATAGTTGTTGGAAGATAATGATGAATAATGGTATTTAAACTTCAGGGGGGGAAACAGAGGAGCCGCTGGAGCCTGAAGAGCAAAACAAGTTGGATATGCGCAGGCAGAAGCAGGCAAGCCGCTCGGCACGAGTCATCTATGTTCTCCAGCAACAGGTATTTCAATCTCTACCTCATGTAATTGAAATAAAACTTGATTGACGTTTTATTTTGCTCCCTATGTATTAACACTGTTCCCCAACATTTTAAAAGGTCAAAGAGATACAAGAAGATATTGAGAGATTTCATAGCCAGAAAACGTGGGACTCCAAAAAAGTAGGTCTTCAGCATTGTCATCCATTTACTGCTCTTTAGAGCTTGTTTGTTTGTTGATGATAGTAAAACGTTCACAGAACTTGGTAAAATACCTCCTATCCTTCAAAATAGACGCGTTCTTCCCTTTGTGTATTTAAACACAAAATGAGTGGTGTGAAAACAAAATATATATTTTTTCTGTGTCAGGTATTAAATGAAAGAAAAAATGATTTTCACACTCTGTTCAAATGACTGTTTCATGTGCCACATTATTAATTATTTAAATAAATATTGTTTTTCCAGAAAGGACCGTTTCAAATGCTAAGCAAAAATCTTTGAGCCATCTGTTTTGCTCATCTTCGTACACTGATCAACTTTTTGTCTTTTATTTTAGTCCACAACAGTGAACAGGCTTGCAGCTGCACACCGTGGGACACTCCGGGTTTTGCAGTTTGCTGTCAACCAGCTTTCAGATCCTTCTCATGCCAAGGTTCCCCCTTACTACAAAGAGCTGGGCAAGCTGATTTGCATGCTCTCGCTGTGTTCGGCTAAGGTTGAAGCAGAACGGAATCTAGAGACGGCCGACATCCTGCAGAAACTAGAGGTAAGAAGCATGAAGTGCAAATCAGAGGATTTGGATCACAATATCGATTTTCATTGTTTTTTTTGGCATCATTCTAGCACTGTACACTGTACAATGTAACAACTATTTTAAGGAGCATTAGGAACAAAGATCAACCAAAACACTATTTTGTTAAACAATTTAGATATCCTTGAAGTTAGTTATCTGAGTATCTGTTCTACTTACTGATGGAAAGGCTCATGCCACCAGCTTGGGATTTCAAAGTGCTTACTGAAAACAATTCCCCAATTAGCGCGCCATGAGAAGCTCACTGCAGCACAAGTGTAGCAGTGCATCCCGTGAGAAGACTAAAATAAACGTGAAATGATGTATAGAAAGACCCAGTGTTCCAACAGCATTACTCAGATATTGATGTAAATGCCACCAAATTAAAGCTGATAGTCAGCACTGAACCTTTTCTTATGCTTTTTTGTTTATTTAAAAAAATAATATATATATATATGCACATTTCTTTTTTGGATGACAGGGAGTTCCAACAAATCATGTTTTTTTCTAACTTGTTTAGTCAAAAGTTCATGTTGTGTCTGCAAATGCTGCTTATTTTACGGGGTCATTTTTTGATGTCTTGTCACTCTATTCTACTAAGACTTTGGATTCTGCCCTGCATAAGCAAGATCTTCTTGAAAGGATGCGCGCCCAAGCACATCCTCCAAACAGGAAGTCTCCTCGCGGCACGTCACCCTCAAGTGCACCCAAGGGTCCCAGCACCTCAGCTGTTCGAGGAACTCACAAACCAGCAAATCCCAAAAGAGCAATCCGTGGTGAGTGGCTGTTCACCCGTACTTATCATGCTATTTATTCATTTAAACCTTTTATTTAACCAGGAATGTCCCATTTGAGATTAGAAATTTCTTTTTCAAGGGAGACATGGCCAAGACAACATAGAAACACATACATACAAACAGAAAACACAGAATAAGACCCATTAAAAGTTTAAGAGACAGTGACGTAACTGGGTTAATTAAAAATAAAACTGACATTTTTTGGAACCTGCCTTTATTTCCTTAATTCTAGATCAGATAAAAGCAGTAAGTGGCATCAGTTCTTAAATCATATATATATATATATATATATATATAACAGACGGTTAGCTTGGGAGCAGACCAAGGATTGCCTTATAAATGAAGGTGCACCAATGACCGAGCCAAAGCAGGCCATCCTACCCGAGAGTATAACTCCCAGTGGTGGGTCAGAGGTTTACAGGTTGAAATGAATCGCAGTGATTCATGGTAAGCTGTGTCCACTATATGAAGACAGTTTGCTAGTCCAACAAAGGTTAAAGATTAGCATCAACTAATCACTTTTTACATTAGTTGAAAAACGCATCTTATTTTGAAAATAAAAACCCAGTTTTCACCAGGTTTCACCTGTGGCTGAAAAGTGATTACTTCTCTTTAGTTAGTGCCTTGTACATATAATTCTTTATGAGCATTCTTTATAACCCCATGTATCTCATACAAATGCAATCTTTCCCTTCATGAATTGCCGCAAAAAACTGCCCCGACAGTAAATTGTGTGTATGCCTTTTGATGAACGTAAAACCGTTTTCCCGAGCATTTGGAAGTCACCTGAGGGCTTTTGTGCACTTGTGTTTGCATCTCCCACTGTGCTTAAATGGCTGCACTAGGCTCGAAATTGATAAGTAACCACAAGGAAGTGAAAAACAGGAAAGCATTTGCAGCACTCTTGCTGTTGGTCCCCCACTGCTTGGTCCCATGAGCAGTTAACTCTAGCTGACTTCTATTGGGCAGAGATGCATCCTGTGGATGAGAGGACACCGACACCTTGAGTGAGCTGAGGGATCCAACTGTTTATCAAGGGTGTTAACTAATTGTTTAATTGGACCCTCCCAGGTTTCAAGCTGATTTTACTTGATTACTTTAATAAGGATGAAGAGACAAAGCTCCTCCTTTATTTCTCGTCACATGGGATACAATAAGTTCAGATTTTTCATTTCCATTTGTGTCACCAGGTAAGAGAATGGCCTCACAGAAGCCCAAAACTGCTTCTCACCAGCTCATGAACCGAAGAGAGATGCTCAGGGCTGGCCTGCAGAGTCTTGCCCTGAGCGAGCTGCAGGGACGACCTCAGACAAACACCACCTGCAGAAAAGGAGGGGCTCCACGCTCTGGGAGAAGCGAAGCTGGCGTTACAATGAAGGTTTTGGCTCCACTTCTACAAGTCTGAATACTGGTCCAGATAAATTGTAACACACAGGAAATGCGTCAGATTATATTAGAAGCACTGTGTTTATTAAAACCCACTGTGAAGAAGGCGTATGATTGTCAGCCAGAGGTCTCTTCGAAGATCTAAACAATGTGAGGACCGTGTGAACGGCCTTAATATATATGTGTTGTTTTTTGTTGTTGTTGTTGTGGCCTAATCAGATGCAGGAAGCCGGTTTCCAGCAGCCCACCGTTTCCTCTCAGCTTAGAATGAACCAGCTCCCCCAGAAAGAGCCCTCTGTGCCCTGGATACCCACCTCCCCCCACTCTCCTCCTCCACAGCGGTGAGCCTTTTATCACTCTGCACAACCAATGACATGTTCATAAAAAAAAATCAATATATATATATATATAATTGTTCTCCAATGCTCTCATTGCTCAGTAGATTACTGAATTCATTATTTAACTACGATGATACTGCTGTGTTGGTTATTGACTGTAAAGTCTAAAACTGTAATCTCAAGTCTCCAGTTGGACTATATTACTGCATTGTGAACAAAAGTGTCCGTGACAAGATAAGATATAAAAGTATTAAGGGGAAAAGGGGCCTGGAGAGACTACAAATAATTTTTGAGCCAGATGGGGGATGTAAGCAGCTTTATTGTAAAAAGAAAAAAGAAATACTAGGTCTCTTTCGTTCACTGTTTAATTGGCGGGCTTTCCAAATCATTGGAAAGGCCTTACTATTGTAATTGTAAATTACAGTGCTGAACCATGAAAAAGAAACTCTCATTCCCTGTAATCCCGATATATGTGTTATCCCTCCGCTGCCATCATAACAGATCGCCTCAGAGGAGAAGACCAGAGCCACGATGCCTCTTTTCCCCCTCGAAGCCCTCGTGCAGCCCTCCCAAGCAGGTGGTGAACGCTGGTTTGAGACCAGAGCCGGCTCTGACCTCACAAAAGAGGACACAAGCTCAGAATGAGGCTTTAAGGTGAAGCCCTTCTTCTGCAAACCATATGTAGCTTTAAATCCCTTCTATTGGTCAGACATTTCATAAGGAGGTGTTATGGTCCTTAAGATTAGGGGTTTACAGTGGGGAAAATAAGTATTTGAACCCCTGCCGATTTCTTTGCAAGTTTGGCCACTTGCAAGGAAATGTGTGATCTATCATTTTAATGGTAGGTGTATTTTAACAGTGAGAAACAGAATAAACAAAAAAATCCAGAAAACTGCATTTTATAACATTTATGACTTTATTTGCATGATGTAGAAAGTCACTATTTGAACCCCCAAGCAAACAGCAAGAACTCTTGCTCCCAGGTTTATACACAACCCAGGAGGGATTTTGGTCCACTCCTCTTTGCAGATCCACTCCAAATCCTTCAGGTTGTCTGGCTGTCGCTTGGCAACTCGAAGCTTCAGCTCCCTCCACAGATTTTCTATGGGATTAAGGTCCGGAGACTGGCTAGGCCACTCGATGACATTAATGTGCTTCTTCTTGAGCCACTCCTTTGTTGTCTTGGCCGTATGCTTTGGGTCATTGTCGTGCTGGAAGACCCACACTCGATGCATTTTCAACTTCCTGGCTGAGGGAAGGAGGTTTTCACCCAAGAGTGCACGATACATGGCGCCATCCATAGCCCCCTGGAGGCGGTGGAGTTGTCCTGTACCTAGAGCAGGGAAACAGCCCCGAAGCATGATGTCCCCACCGCCATGCTTGACTGTGGGGATGGTGTTCTTGGGGTCATACTCAGCAAGCTTCCCCCTCCAAACGCGGCAAGTCAAGTTTATGCCAAAGAGCTCGGTTTTGGTCTCATCTGACCACATCACGTTCTCCGAATCCTCCTTGGAATCATTGAGGTGTTCATTGGCTTCAGTCGGCCCTGTACGTGCGCCTTCTTGAGCAGGGGGACCTTGCGCGCACTGCAGGACATCAAATCATTACGGCGCAGTGTGTTTCCAGTGTGTTTGCTTGGTGACTGTGGTCACAGCTGTCTTGAGATAATCAACAAACTCCCCCGGTGTAGTTTTGGGGTTATTCCGCACCTTTCTGATGATCCCAGGTACTGCATGAAACGAGATCTCACGCGGAGCCCCAGACCGGGGAGCGATTGACCGTTGTTTGATGTTGATTCTATTTGCGAATAATTGCACCAACAGTTGAGTGGCTCTCACCAAGCTGCTTTCCGATGCTTTTGTAACTCATTCCATTCTTGTGCAGGTCTACAATTTTGTCTCTGACGTCCTTGGACAACTCTTTGGTCTTGCCCATGGTGGTGAGGTTGAAGGTGTGGAGTATGATTCTTTGGAAAGGTTTCTTTTATACTCATCACCTATGGAGATGAGGTGTACCTTGTTCTGTGTGCCTCTTGGGCACATAACTGGTCATTGGGAGCCAGAATTCTTGCTGTTTGCTTGGGGGTTTAAATACTTATTTTCTGCATCAAATGCAGGTTAACCCTAACCCAAAGTCATAAATGTTATAAAATGCCGTTTTCTCGATTTTTTTTTTTGTTCTGTTGATATTCTGTTTCCCACTGTTAAAATACACCTACCATTATAACTATAGATTTCTTTGCAAGTGGCCAAACCTGCAAAATCGGCAGGTGTTCATTTACTTATTTTATACTGTATACAGTATGTGTATATATATAATGTGTGTGTATATATATATATATAATTATTGTATGTCCTAGCAATAGATATAAAGGGACTATGAATGAAATTTGAAGTCTGTTCCTCTGAGTTATTTTTAACCTCTTTGTCAGACCCCACTTGCTGAGAGCCAAAGGCAATACTCTGATTCTAATTCAAAGTTAATTCCATCCAATAATGTAATCTAGGCGCCCGCTGCGTTGAGGCCATTTCTCTCCGTGAGTGATTAGTACTTGGCCTGTTTCCAATCGTTATGAGCGACTCATTGATTGAGTGTTACATATGTGTCTCTGTTTAATCAAATCTTAATCAGGGGGGCTAGCAGCCTGAATCTAGAGAAACGGATTTGTGTATGTGTGAAATGGTTACATTGAGCTTTGATGATTGATGATTACTGGCTTGGTACAGGAAAGCATGGCTGGATAAGATGACGACGCAGAGACTGAACGAGCTCAACCGGCTGAGTAAAGAAGAGGCTCAACGCATTCAGTCGTTACGGTACAGAAGAAGTCTAATTATAGATTTAGTTGAAGGTCATAATCTTTCATCAATTGTTGAATATGAACAAAGCCTCAAAGCCGATGTGAAAAGAATCAAAATTACTAATAAGACTAATTAAATTCAATCTTCAAGCTACTATGAGAAACCTTCATTTTGTGTTGATGTTGTGTTGAAAAGCGTTGCATCATGCTGAGCACAGTCCAGGAATCCACACATAACTGTGTTGTACAGCTCAAATACAGCATGCTGCTACAATTACAGCCTGGACATGATTACCTGCAAATAATAGAAGAGAAAATAATGCAGGTTGTTACTGTGACAACATCCCCTCAGTACCACAGACAGCACATGTCCTCATAGATCAACCTCATATCTCCTAATCACTCATTGGACACTGCAAGAACAGCAACAGAACAGTATGCTTTGGAAGAAAATGTACACTAATGGCCCGGTGCACAACGTTTGCATCCTCTGCGTTTTATTTACTATGGGACCGAGCTTATTTAAACGGGTAAATATAGTCCACTAAACTGCATGGCAGAGATCTGAAATCAGTCCCTCATTTGGAGTTGCTGTAAGAGAGCCTAAATTCATCAGTGTTCACAAGGTCTGCATCCTTGCCAAGTAGTGATGCATTGATGGTTTTGACCTCTTTTGCAGTCGATTTTAATATCTAAGAAAGCCTGACAAATACTGCTGATTTGTGAAGAACCCTATTGAGCTTGAAAACCAATTAAAAATGGTTTGTATTTGTAGAACTTCTGTGACAGCTTGCAGTGTGGGTGTGTTTCGGTTTACAGGTCAGAAGTTGTCTCGCCGACCCGGTGGGCGGAGCGAGCTGAGCAGGAGGCCAGAGACAGAATTCAGCCGCTTCTGGATGAAGCAAAGGTAGGGCAGATTTACACTTCCCTTTCCTTCCTTTTCATATGCCACCTTATATGAAGACGGGGAACAATCGATAAAAAATGAGCAATGTTTTATAGAAAAGTCAGTGGGACTTGTTTTTGTTCATTTATTTCAGCAGATCTGTGAATCCGGGACGAGGATCAACCCCTCGCGGAGGACCGGGCAGTCTGAGGAGGCGGCGGAGAGGGTGAGCGGCGCCAACGTTGCTAATACTTCCATGGGGAGAGATACAGTTTGAACTTCCTATCGCGGCATAGTCAAGCCCAATATTCAGCTCACATTATTGTGTGTGTGTGTGTGTTTTCCTGAGCAGTTGAGCGAGGCGCTGCTGGAGGATCTGCTGGAGGACACTGCGCGGGCGGCGTGGGTGGCTGAGACGGACCGGCAGTTTGAGGGCATGGCCCAGCGCCGGCTGCAGGCCCCCACCCTGGAGAGTATGCTGCTTCGGATGGAGGAGATACAGGTGAGACGCCCCCCCCCCCTCTGAAAGGACGAGCCCACGGAAGGTCAGCAGTAATGGGGCTGATATTTATAGGGCACTCCGGTGACAGCGTGGGTCCGGGGTCATTAGCTGGTGGGCGTTTGGTGATAATATGCATTTATCTGTTTGTTTCTGAGCAGAGGGACCAGGAAGAAGTGAGGAGACGGTTTGCGTCCATCACCTACTCAGACCCTCTTTACTGGGACAGGCCAGACAAAGGTAAAACAAGTCAAAATAAACAATTCAAAGAAAATACCCTGATGTCTCCTGTAGGTGGAGACAGCGCAGGTGGGTAGGAGGCGAATCCTTGTGGTTTTGAGTCCACTCTGCTTGCTTTTTGCATCCGTCTCCGCCACGCTCCGCTCCGTCCCTCTCGACACACACCACCTTAACCCGTTCCTCCCCTACCTCCCTATTCTTCCCAGGACACCAGTGCCATGCTCCGCCCTCGAGGCCGGCCTCTCCTCAGCCGATTAGGCTAACAAAGCCTGTGCCAGGGCAGAGCTTCACAGCTGATATCTTCCTAGAGAAGCCTGTGGACGCCGGGTGGGTTTGTGTGTCTTTTACCTGTTCAAATAACACATCATCCCTACCTCTTCCGCTCCTTGCTGTTTTATTCAGCTTTATGAGGGAGTGCAGACACTTTGGAGTGTTCCCAGAATAGTACCCGGAGTCCGGTGTCACGGTTTGACCTGTTTAATCTCTTCAGATGAAATAAAAGGCTCCATCACGTCCATCTGTACAAAGAAAACATACACAACAAAACGTTGGGTTTCAATTACTTGGGAGTTTTGGTCACTTTAATTGTAAATTTAATGGGAAAAATAAATGTAGCGAATTACTGGTTATGATCAGCAGCAGCAGCATCCGCAGGAAGTACTTCACCATTAGTTTAATTAGGCCTCTAGACTTAATGAAAACTAAAGTAGTTAATGCTTTTCCAACGATGCAGTTTAAAAAAAAAAATATTTGTTACACATGACGTGTCGTAGCCCTATAATCACTCTCCTAGCCGGGAGGCCTCAGTCACTCGGTGGTTGTGGTACCCAGGGCAGATAGTCTATTCACGACTCGGGCTACAAACCCGCAGAAACACCATCCACTGCCCAGGGCTTTGGCTCCGGCTTTGGCTGCTCTTCTGCTCAGAGTGACCTGGAAGGAAGAGGAGAGAGAAGTGGAAGGACTAAAAGTTGTTGACACGGACAAGCCTGCAGTATGCCGTATTTTAACAAATTCCAACAGCACGCATTAGCCAAATTACGTCGGTGCCTCGGGTTCCGTTCCTTCGTCCCCTGTGACTCATCATGCACTCTTTGTTCGTAAGACACCCATCAGGTAATAGCTCTGTTTTCATTGCAAACACGGACAGCTATTTAGTGTCTAGTCTTTTTGGAGGAGGTGTTGTGTTTTAAGTCATTATTTATTCTCCCTTCAAAGGTATTCAGCCTCGCAGCTTCTTAACAGGGACAAAGCCATTGGAGAATTGCCAGGTGCTTTGTCTTGAAACTGGCAGAATCACTGCAGCATCATAGAGAAACAAACCTCACTACGTCCCTTTTATCCTCCGTCCAAATTACAATACTTTTAAAAAGCGTGGGCACTTGGCTTGAACCTTTTTTCTGTCTTTTCCTTTTTTAACACACTCAACCAAAGTCCATGTAATTAGGATTTTCTTTTTACATTTATTAATAGAAAAGATGTGTTGAAAACAAATCTCTTTTGTAGTTGACCTACATTAATTAGTATAGATATAGTCATGTCATGAATTTGCTCAGCTTTTCAGTACTTGCCAAATTCTCCCACTGTGACAGCACAATCTTTTTTTCTGTTGATCATGGTGATTTATGTCAAAAAATGTTGTGGCCCCAAGATCGTAATCACAATTGCTGCCATTTGCCAACTATCTAACTGCTTGGATAATTAAGCATTTTTGTCTCAGAAGAAATGGTTATTTATTTGACTTGACATTTCTCCTGGACAAATGGGATTTTTGCTGTGCCGGCAAACAGCTGTACATCTGTATCTAGAGAAAGAAAGTCCCCTTAGAATTAATGAAGTCGCAAGTAGGGCGTCATTGTTGTGTAATGGTGATAGGAATTTTGTTAATTAGGAACATTGTTTTCTTAAGCTGTCTTCTGGGCCCAGGACGCTGCTTTGTAAACCGGAGTTTCAAGCGCTTAAATCACCCGGACGGACATTTTATTACAATATACTGTGGCTCGTTGCATCAGCAGTACCAAAATGAAAACATCGACAGTTAACCACACCAACAATCGTAGAAACAGCCTTATGTAAACTTGTTGCAAGTCCCACTGAAATCCACCGGATTATTGTGTAATTACATTTTGAAGGACAAGGGAAAACCATGTGAAACCTTTTTGGAACCAATATGTGAACCCCCATAACAATTGGAAAAGGTGTGTATTGGATGAAAGCATGAAAGAAAATGTTTAAATAATGAGCACAAAAGTCATTATTAGCTGTTATAATCCAAAACATCATAAAATGTGTCATATTAATTCATAGAATATAATTAATTCAAATGCCACTTACTGCCGAGGTAAAGGGCTGCATTATTGTCTCCAACAAAAACAGTCTTGATTTAATGAGGATGATCAGCACGCTACCCTTAAGTTATTTTGAAAATGATTTAAAAGGGTCAAGATCATGTTCAGTTCATACAGAAATGTCACCATTTGATGCACTGTACCAGATTAAAGCCTCGGCTAATTTGCGTCTGTAGTTTGCTCAGGAAGTCCAAACTGCAGGCAGCTTCCGGTCAGTCTAGATATTTATATTCCTGCCAACAGTTCAGATCATATTTTCCACAGCATGAAATATGCAGGGCATCAGCATGAAGGAAACGAGCCCACAAGTGTTGTTTGTTTGTGTAAATTAGGGCTGTCAATGGATTAGAAAAAAGTAGTAATTAGTAAGTAAGTAATTATTGCACATTTTGTAATTCATTAATCTCGATTAATGGCGATTAATGAATGTTGTTGTTGTTACAATGTTATTTTTAATGAATTTGAATGAAGTAATGAGTAATCACTTTAGAAACCGTGTATTTCAGACACTGTTGTTTAATTGTTAATGTTATTTTAAACACACAACTATGCACATTTTATCATCTTGGAGGCAGAATTCCACCGGGTGGAACATGTTGAACTAGCGACTCTTGCTGTGCTCGTGCACTTTGCTCTCAACTCTCCATAATTGAACGGCTGATTTTGATTTAGCCAGGGCGTTTTCAAACCACGGTCTCCGGAAGTACACAAATGTACGTTAAAATATTTTGTTGCATTAACTCGGCCACATTAATCGCATTGATTAAGCATTTATGTTGAACTGCCTAGTGTAAATGTGTCAGTGTTGCCTCCTCCTTATGTTCACGTTAGCAGCATAGCAAGGTTTGATTTTTTGGGGGGGGTTATAACAGCGAAATGTGTGAAGAGCTATTCATGTATCTCAGCCCACAGAGACACATCAGCTGCTGCCGTCAGCAGGGAAACCCAAAAATGTTCCATCTTGCACCCCACATATATTCTGTGATACTTTTGGGTTGGTTAATGAAACGAGGCGGATGAGTTTGTTGTTTACAGTTGCTCAGGCTATCATGGCCGCGCTAAGCTGATGCTAGTGGTTACCTTTGAGTCATGACTTCTCTCAGAAGAGATTACAGCGGCATTCCACCCTCCCGCCGCTCGACATGACCCATGACCCCGGCCCCTTCCTCCAGAGGAAGTGTGCCTGTTACGCACGTACAGCCCCCCGTGAGGAGAAGGAGGAACATACACCGCGCTGCCAAGAACCCCAGACGGCCAGAGACCGGGTGTGGGCGCAAGTAATCACACCAACATCGATGGGTCTGGTTTAAACAGGCTATAGCACGTGCCAGTTTATTAATAATAATAATAATAAACAATAGAGGGAAATGGGAGGACGGCTGAGCTGATCCAAAACAAAGAAATTAGCAAAACCCCACCCCTTACCTGTCCCAACGTCCTACACAAAACACTTATTTACTCTGGCGCTCGAGCAAGGCGCCCTAACCAAAAATACAGGGGGTGGATCGCTCAGATCTAACCTGGTGTGTATAACAGGAGATATCCCTACGGGTGATGTATGCCCAGGGCGTCTTTCCTAACACTCCCAAGTGCTTTCCGTTCTCCCTGGGAAGGACACACGAAATACAAATGATTAATACTTTCAATACTCCAAAACACTCCACCATGTACAACCAATTTCACAAGAGCACCCCAAACACAACCTTACACCCTGCCTGAGAGATCTGGACTGAACAACCAGAAACACATAAATACAGCTGATGGGACGATGCGATTGGAGGATGGGAAAACAGGAACCAGCTGTAGGAGATCACGGGAGGGCGGATGAGTAATGAAGACAATTAGCTCCACCTGAGGAGGGTTATCACACACACAGAACACAGACAAGACCGGGGGTCGTAACACGCCCACCACAAAAACAGCAAACCTCCAGTTTGCGACAAAACAACCAAACGTAACCCAGTACTTAAACACGCGATAGCTGGGGGCTGCGGCCCAGCGGGAAGGGGAGGATCGCTGCGGCCCAGCGGGAAGGATCGCTGCGGCCCAGCGCGAAGGGGAGATCGCTGCGGCCCAGGGCGAAGGGGAGATCGCTGCGGCCCAGCGCGAAGGGGAGATCGCTGCGGCCCAGCGCGAAGGGGAGATCGCTGCGGCCCAGCGCGAAGGGGAGATCGCTGCGGCCCAGCGCGAAGGGGAGATCGCTGCGGCCCAGCGCGAAGGGGAGATCGCTGCGGCCCAGCGCGAAGGGGAGATCGCTGCGGCCCAGCGCGAAGGGGAGATCGCTGCGGCCCAGCGCGAAGGGGAGATCGCTGCGGCCCAGCGCGAAGGGGAGATCGCTGCGGCCCAGCGCGAAGGGGAGATCGCTGCGGCCCAGCGCGAAGGGGAGATCGCTGCGGCCCAGCGCGAAGGGGAGATCGCTGCGGCCCAGCGGGAAGGGGAGAGATCTCTGCGGCGACTGAGGGGACATCAACAAAACTGGAGATGGCTGAAGTAGCCATCATGTACACTATACCGAACACACAACAAACTAAAGGTCATCCCATTCACAACCCCCACACCGTCCACCGACCGTGTGGACGAGGTAC